CGTTTTTATAATGCAATGATTTATCATTGTAACCTAACAATTTACATAACTTTTAAAATACTATATCTATATTATCTATTCATTGTTGTATAATGGTTTTCAAAAAGTTATATACAAAAGTTTAGAGAGCGATGTTACCGCACCATCGAATTAGTTAGATAGATTTTCTAACCAATGAAATCATCATCATTGATATTTCAACACGGTGTTTATTTTTCAGTAATATTAAAAATAAAGTAATTACATATTTAATTTTCAGTATATTGCAATGATTATAAAGGAACTAATTAGAAATAGTTTATACTGATATTAATCGTCAGAAATATATATTTAGTCAATACAATTGTAATAACAGTAATATTTACCTAACATCAAACATAGTTAAAATTTTAATTTACTAATTCTAAACAGCTTAGTTTGAAATGTGTATTATGTTCTTGTAAATTACCTTTGAATGAAATCGATTATTTTATCAAATTTTAATTGGATAATACATAGATTAAATACGATTTAATGAAATGCAATTAATTAATCAATGTTACAAAAAAAATATCCCATTTTAAAATTATTTTATTTTATCTACATCATTCAAAAATAAATTAATTGTTGAATCATAAAGATATTATTTAAAATTATTTAATCAAATATACATCATTAATATTAATGAAACGAATTGAAATTTTAACATATGAACTTTTTAAAAATTTTTTTCGAATGGAGGCATTGACAACAAAGATTATTCATGTTGGGTTTCGGTACGATATGTTCTTTTTTCATTTGGATATTTAATACATTTATGTACTAATTAGTGAGCATCAATTTGTTATCTAGTGATCATGTACACGTACAAATATGTATATTTTATTTTATACTTTATAGATTTATATATAGTGTATACGAGAACATAATGTACTTGAGAAAATTCTTAGTAATTGAAAAAACTAGTATAAAATATAATATAATACACAATGATATAATATATAATGATACAGTGTAGAATTACGCGTACAACTGTTAAGTATATTTTATGCGTTGTTATATGTGCTCGATACATTATATTAAATATATTATAATAGGCATGCGAATGAAAATAATACTTGAATCGTATACAGGTATATTACACGTATGAAGCGTTGAATGTCAATTAATTGGACCACAAAGTTAAGTTTCTATAGACTAGCGTACATTTTTAATATTTTAAACTAGTGATGGGTGATTCTTGAAAGTGAATCGATATTTCGAATCGATTTAATTCAGAATGGAAATATCGATCTAAAAAAAATTAATGACAAAAGATCGATTCATTTTGTATGCTATTTTTTAAAAAAAATCAATAGATGACATTCTTTGTTGATTTGTGCTCTAGATGAAAAGTAGATGAAAATATAAAACGTGTAGTAAATTTTAGTGCTGGCCGATTCTTGAAAATTTATCGATTTAATTCAGAATGAAAAGTTCGTGATAAGAATAAACGGTAGTGTTTACAGCGTTATGAAAACATCGGAAATAGAATCAACAATTAATAATGAATCGATTTGCATAAAATATCGTATCAACGATTCAATTTGATTCACAAAAATTAATTATAAGTATCCATATTAGGATCATGGAGATCGATTCAAAAATTTATTCATTTCACGAAAAAGATTGATTTAAATCACTCAACACTATTTTGAACTTAATTAAAATCAATTTTTACACCGGAGTACGATTGCGCGTGGGTTACCTTTTTATGTATACGACTGCGTATGGAATTAGATGCGATGTTGTCAAATTTGCCAATAATAATAAGAATATTTAGACGAAAAAAAGTAACAAAAAAAAGACATAAACAATTAGACATTAACAAAAAAAAAAAAAAACATTTTATTATTAATATATTATATATACTATTATTATTATATTATAAACTTGCCTATCGATTTTTTGAACTGAATCTGCAGAGTGGTTATGCTCATTAGAATTTTCTAAAATGGAATCATCAGTTATTATTAATACTGTAGACATACACTGCTTTTTATAGTACCTACATCTGACATGTCTATCAGCCCTCTATTTGATGCATCAACATTTGTGCCCGTTCACTATTAACAAATCACTTTTCGAAATTATACGCCAAATTTCATTTTACATTTTTAAAAATAAGTATAAAATGTTAACAATGCGAAAAAGTATGTATTAAAGCTGAACATTATTTCTATCAATCCGGATTACGGATTAAAATGATTTAATCCAAATTTCCGATCAATTTGTCGGAATGTGTTGAATCCATCGATCCGCATTTCGTATTCAATCAATCGATCTCAAAGGTAACATTTTACGAATGGAAAACATTTGTGACCAGAAAAGCTTCAACTCAAGTTCATTGTTTGGTGGGTTCACATATTTTATATATTATAATATAAAAACGAATTATGTATTTCATATAATTGGTTTTAAGTCTCATTTTCTCGATTTTGTAGCGTACTATAATTTTAATTATTTCATCATTTGAAATTGAATTATTGGGTGCCCGGGAATCGGGACACAATTAACCTTTTTTCAAAAAGGTATACGGTAATTGGACTACTACAGTTTTACATTCATAACAGGTAGACCCGGTGATTGGGCCACTATTGCCATCGAATACTTTCATTCATATTTTAAAAATAATTTTTATATATTCATAATTTTTAATGTTTCATTGGAGGTTCAATCCGAAGTATATATTTAAATGAGAAGTATAGGAACGATAAAAGAATAAAACGATAAAAGAACGAAAAAAAAAAAATTGATGATAATCATTATGATTTAACTAACTTAATTGACTTTTTATATTATATTAAATTTGTTAATCCTACGTATGGCATTATTAAAAAAAAAATTATTGTATTTTATGCATTATAAAAATAATTATTAGTTAATAAACGTATATTTGTATACTTTTATGCTGTTCATTTGTAGTCCAATTTCAGGGTAGTAAAAAGTAAACAAATATTTTGTATGAAGCAGGTAAATGTGGCTCAATTACCGACCGCCCGAATTATTGCTAAGGCTATAATAAGTTAATTATACGAACTGAATAATGCTTAATTATTTACTGCTTCAGTTCAATTTCTGCAGTAGAATTATGTCAAAATGAAGGATTATTAATTATTATATATGCAAATATACGGTATACATCTTGATTTTTGGAATTAATTTAGTGCTTTCTAAAATTCAATTATAACATACACAAATTAAGACTGGGTTATTTTATACAGAATATTCCACCAGGATATTTTATAATTTATATCAGACGGGGAAGAAGTAATTTTTGCGCATTACTTCGTAGAACTGCCTAATACCAGATCAATAAGTATTTATTTATCGTTTCAATAATATAATTTGTTAATGTGAGTAATGTGTAATAAGTAGGTATCTAGAGGATATAAATAATAAACGGAAGGTTTATTTTTGTGTGTTCAATGATGAAAGATGGAAATTTTTATTATATGCTATATGGTCTGAGCATAATTTTTTATTGGGCAGCATTAATATGTTAGGTTAGCATTCTAAAAAGTGATAAAATATCTATAAATTTTTATTTTTATTTAATAAAATAAGTTTGGTTGTTGATACTATAATTTATTATGTCACATATTCAAATATAATATGTATAATGATGACTTACTTGTATGTTATCTTCATAATATTATTACTACGAAAACTTGTTACCTTACTTTTTAATTTTTTTTCCTATCAAAATGTCATCCCCTTCAAATGTTGACACACAAGCGACCTTGGATTAATTTGATAGCGTCGAACAAAGGAGTGCCACTCAAATAATCGGTGAATTTCAAGCTGTCAAAAATTATAGCTTTAGGTATACATCTAATTTGATTTGATTGTCGACATCACTTAGTATTTACTATATATTATAGCTAATTTATATTAAGCCACATACACTCACACACACACACACACACACACACACACACACATATATATATACTCATTTTCTTATATCAGTAAAAATGCTGAACTACTATACTTAGTTTTCATTAATTCATATATTCAGTGTGTACAAATTATAGTCGTAATCCGAAAAAATAGTATAAAACAAATTCAACATTAAATGCAATTTGATTATGGGATATACTTTATAAATGGTGTGTATTCAACTGTTCTCTTTTGTACATTTTGGTCATTAAATTAGGGTATATAGTATTTGAAATGATTAGGTTATAATACTAACTAAGTATTATTACTTATAAATTATAATAAAAAAATTCGTGTTTTTTTTTTGAAAATTTTTATTGATTTTAAAAAATCATGCGCTGCTAAAATAAGAAGAAATTAAAATTAGGAGTATATAATATAATCCTACTCTAAATAAATCAAGCCTATAAAAATAACTTATAAACTAAACCATACATCATACAATCGTATATAATAATAATAATAATGATAATAAAAATGAAAATAAAAATAATTATAATAATAATGATAATCCAAAAGCGGAAACAGAGTACCGTTCTAAAATATTTAATTTTATTCAAACCTTTGGAATGAAGCGTATTTTATCATGACGTAATGAATACCATTATACTAAATAAATACCGAAAATAGATATAATGATTACCGTATTATTATGAATAATTCGAACTGCTAAATACTTAAATGTAGCGAGAATATGATATTGATTTGATCCTTTTTAATTACATTTTTTGACGTTCTAGAAAATTAACTAGATGAGAAATACGAAGACTTCTTCGTAACCATAATATAATATTAGTAATAGTAATAATAATAATAATTATATTATTATTATTATTATTTATTTATAAATATAATCACAATATAAGATATACGTATAATTTTATAATATGTATTAAACTTAATTGTTATGTTTACGATTAAAGCAAAAAGTCGAAAAACTGAGGAAATGTATTGAATGATTCCACACATGACGAAGAAGTTATAGAGGAGATTGATATAGTGAGTGGGGTAGTGGGAGAGATGACTGCAATTATTTTTTCTTGTTTTGTAACATGTTAGCACTCCGTAGTGTGTATATTATATGCATTACTGTTTGTTGTGGTTTTTCTTGTGACCTGAAATGAATGAAAAATAATTTAAAATTAGCTACCTCCATTTTAGGAACAAGTATTATATTCATTGAATTTTTACTTGTATTAAATAGCTTAGTACTATTATGGCTTATTAGTTTTAAAGGGGTTAGTATTATTATTCTCTTTATACTGAGCCACTGTTTACATACTGGTATGAACAATATACGCATGTGTACCTAAAATATCCTATATGCGTACTTACTTGTATCCTATATAATACATGAAACATAAAACGTAAACACGTGCATTCAATTGTAGCGGAGACGAAAGAAGTGTACTTCCTCTTGTTATTTTTTTTATGGTTTCAGTTTTTGATTTATTTGAAATACTTGGTAATAAAAAATGTGGGTAGTTATTTATTCCATAGTACATTATGTACATGTATTATTATCATTATTTAGAAATTGTGATGTAGTAAAAAGCTTACAGTTATTTACTTATTAAGATATAAAAAGTTAATTCGTAACATATAATATTACAGTTTTCATTATGAACTTTTAGAAATTGTAATCAACACAACTACTTAAAAGTTCAGCGGATCGATATTGTATTATTTTCTATTCAACTCCTACCATGAAAACACTTTGAATGCATTACTGGGCACTGGTATAATACATACCCGGCACATAAACAGAGTGATCTATTTAAGCGGGTACTTTGTACGTGTTAGATACGTTAAAAATCTAGCCCATTGAATGACACATCCTGTATATATATGAGAAAAAAAATGGAGTAGTAAAAACGTATATCATAGCACTACCACGTGCAGTGCACGACGCAGGAAACGCCATCATTTCCTAGGGATACGGTTGAAGATCGTGTTACTGTTAAAAATAAACGGCACATGTGCGCGCTGTATGCATATTTCACGGTTAAACGATCTTTATACATTTGTGTACTTGTATTGTGCACGTGTGTCGAGACATTTTCGACTTTCATCCAATGACCTGTCGTTACCACCGCCATCGGCGATAATGATTATTTTATATTCTATTGCGGCGTATGATGTGAACGATCGACACGTGCGGCATTGGCGAGGATGCAAGGAAGGGCGGCTGGAGAGACAATTTTATTTATTTATCTTCTCGTGATTGAAATGCACGTAGACGTAGTTGAGATGAGTTTTTAATCGCAATTTATACGGACGTTATAGCACATTTTCGCTACAAATACTACGGAAACCTAAGAGACCTAAGATACCTAAGAGACGGTTGAAAAATATATAGTTAAATTGGATATACTAATATAGAAATAATGACACTTGTATTTTTGTTTTAAATTAAAATATTATATTACTATAGTGAACATCATTATTCACTGGTTGTATCAGTTTCCCCTTTTCGACCCTGGACCGAAGGCTAATAGTGTACGTTAATTAAACCATACAATTCATAATACGTTTCTTTAAATTTTCCATAGTTGTGCTTCAGGACATCTCGTCTTGTTGATATGTTGTGTTTCTCACATCGACACCTCACGTACCCTGCTCTATTCCGAGAGTAATAATAATTCACGTGTGATTTTATTATATCACTGAACGCATGATTCTGAACAGTGTAGTCTTCGAGGGTTTACTTAAACGTACGGTCAAGAGTAAACTTGGATTTTTATAAAGTTGTGTATATTTTTTAATTTATTCAATTTTAAGTGAGCTTGGATACAAATTTGTTTCACGTTCTACCGAATCAAATACCGGTGCGAGTCATTTGGTCGATGATTTAGTGATCGATAAAATATGATCGAAATTAAATACACATCAATTATAATTCGAAGGGTAAAATAAAATTTACTATGAATATTTTAGTTTTTTTTTTTTTTTTTAATCTAAAATCCATATTTGCTGTTTTTTTTCGCATATTTTTTTCGGTAATATTTCAGTGCATAAATGTATAAATATTACAGTCATTTTAAGTGCATAAACATCCGAGCCCTAGTGATGAAAATAGAAGGTAGGAAACGGTATTGATGAATGATGGCTTTTGAAATACGAAATGTTTTTATGCAACGTATTCGGTGTACTGAGTGAGTGCACTTTTAATATTATTGATATTATACGCGAAGCACTAATATACGTTCTCTCCCTTCTCACCCTCCCTTAAAACAATACGCGTAATACTTTTTTTTGTTTTTCTGTACGGTAACTGCAACAGACTATGGCGGCGGTCGATGTAATAGCGTGGCGCCAGAACTTTTAACCGAATTGCGCCTCGAGATCGGTAACTGTTTTTTAGGAAAGTCTACTGTGGATCATTTTTTCGCTTGCCCGCGGAAGAGTGCCCGCAACCAGAACTAATGTATCCGTACAGATTTATTAACTTCAGATTTCGAGCGAAAAGAGGAACGCATTTAGGTTCACTAGGTACCGCATACAAATCATTTTAGCTAAATGTGTTAAATAAACAGTGTGCCGTTATTTTTTACGTACACGAAACGATTGGATGGGTTCTTGCCCGCCAATTGGGCAATAACTGAGAACGCTCGTACGGTCGAAATGTGTAATGTGGTGCAGTGTAAAAGGTTTATTGGACCGGAATCAAGTGCCGAATCGTGTTTAACTTTCCCTTCAACCTTTACAGCGTGCAAAAGAAAATTATACGTACATACATATATATATTGATTGCGCAATGTATATATGATGTGAAATATATGTATGTATATATATATATATATATATATAACAGTTTAACAGCGATTGGAATTGTATTATTATTTCGAATTGTTTTTTGAAAATGTGTAATTTGGTTTGGAGTTCGAATAACTTTTTATTCTGAATATTAAACAGGAATTTTATTACAAGCGAAAAAAAAATGAGTGGTCGCCGATATTCGGTTTGACCTCTGTTCAGTACCAACTCTTAAAATATACGAATAGAATATTCATTATGTGATCAAGTGTGCCAGATGCCAGTTTAACGGTTCCTGCTATCGATCATAATATCACACTAATTAAAATGTTCGATTTGTATTTAGTGTACGTGTTTACGTTTCAATTGTTTCTTTATGACGATTTATGATTACGCTTTCATTGTAAGAGAATTGTTTCGGTTTTACTTTTAAATTCGGTCAACAATTAAGTAGTACTGCGTTGAACGAAGAAAAAATATCATCATCATTTATTATTGCAACACGTTAGAATAATATATTCAAGAGTATTTCGAAACAATTATTTTTATCGAGTTATTGGTTGCGGATGAATACTATATACGAGTACATAAACTGCAGCTATAGAGACGGAAATACTTTGATTGCGGAAACGAACAAACGACGTCCGCATAGATTACTGATTTGCAAATTCATACCGGAATGTACTTTTAACTCGATTAGACATATACAGTCGTATCGATTCATTTATGGTCGTTACCGGGAATAATATTATTTCACATGGCGAATGTGATATAAAATTCGGTGAATTCAATATAGTCATGGTTGTACACTAATGGGGTACCTTTGTATATATTATTTATTATTTCATTATTTAAGTTAACCATATGTACATGTGCTCACCGGATAACATTTCAGCGGAAACTGAAAGATATTTTTCTATATTTTGTCAGCTCACAATTATTAGTATTAAAGCATATAAGGCGTTATCTAATTCTCCATTACTAAAAAGCAAAATTAACATTTTTTCTAAGTCCTAAAAAAACTAATTAGATTTTATTGAAACTAATTATTTTTTCTTTCCGTGTTAAATTATAGGAAAAACATTGATCGGCTATTGGCATAATTTTTTTTTTGCTGCTAAATTATATATCTGGTAACATGATAAATCGCAAATATGACGTTTATCATAATTGCACTCTGCAGTTTGCTCATATTGGTAAATTACAGTTCGTTGTTTCGGAAAAATTATTCCAGAGATACGACATATATTAAAAGAGCATGCATGTACCCAACTTTTAATAATATTCTCATGTAATATTTATCCGATATCCGTTTAGATCTAAGATCTTCAGTTTTATTGCTATGGATGTTATGGTAGTATTATAGATATTTGTGTTAAATGCGCTAAAATAGTAAATATAAGTATAAAGTATTAAATAATATATTAGTAATATAAATTTGTAATTAATATTATAAGCTGTATAGCAATCGAAATATTGTACTATGTGCGTTCCTGGGTCATTAGTTTGAAATTGGCGTCCTTAGTGAATGTTTACAACATTTTAGTTGATTACATCTAAGAATCGGTTTTATGTTTAAAAAAAAAAATATGAAAGAACCCTGTTTACTATAACCACTTAAAAATAACGTATAAAGTAACAATGTGTGCTGCGCTATAATACTTGTTTTAGTTTTAATAAAACGATAACATTGTTATTTGTGATTGAAAAACACTCTTAAGAAATCTAAACAAGGCGTTATTTTTGATCAATTTTATGCAGATATGATGTAAATATTTTTATTTAATATATATTATTAACTCACTAACAACGTTTGGCAGGTAAAAATTATAATTTTATTTTTTTTAGTAGGAGCAAGATAATATTATTTAACACACAAGTAAGAATAAAATGTATTCATTGTAATATTTTATTGAACAGTAGACCGAAAGTCCAGAATATTCAAGCGAAATATTTCAAAAATGTCGTTCGTTGAAAAATTCTTGTAGTAAGGATTTAGAGATTAAGTTGCAATTAGTTTTCGATTAGTATAAAATATTCACAACGGGTTTTACAAAAATCGCAGAATGAACTTTTATTTTAGTATTATTCAAATAGCTTTTGTAGATGTTATTCTTTCGTTTTTTTTTAAATATTTTTAAAATTGATTAAACTGATATTCATATACGAATGTATGAAAGTATAACTCAAGTAATAATATATGTTTTCTAAAATTGTAAAAACCAATAAATAGAGAGTTTTAAATATTTTTCAGGTAAGATGGATAAATTTAACTACCCGTTGAAGGGCTTATAGGGTTAAAGATTTTTTTTTACCTAAGTGATTCCGAAAACGGTTCTTGCACTTTTTCGTTATCTGTCTGGTCTTCTCACAGTTTGAGTTTTCGGTGGATGGATGCTTGAGTGTATCCGTCCTGATTATTTCGTTGTGCGAGTTACATGGACTCCACGTGCCCTTCCTATACCTGCATGCTAAAACAACATACAGCCCAAAGACAACCACATGCGTTTAATATTTAAAAAAAGCAAATATTATAATAGTATTATGGCGATAGATTGAGATATTTGTTGTTGTTGTTGTTGTGCTTAAACTCTCGGTTAATATTTAGTAATTGTTATTATCATAGTACGATTTTTATTTTATTTAAAACATCAATGGTAGAGATCGTTAACTGTGAGGTGATTTAAACAGGAAGAGATTCGTTTATTGCCTTCGTGCCTATATCATCATCTACTGTCCTGTGGGTTATTTTAATGGGTTTTTAATAAGACCAAAATGATTCGTTTCGTTTTTATGAGTGTTATATGTACTTATATATTTGACCCGCTTAAAAAAATGACATAATAGTATAAACATGCTTTAAAGTAGTTATGGATTTTGGCTCATAAACTTTAGACTTTTCTTAAATACCTTTCTTGCATTTCTTCACCATCTTCTTGGTTTTTTCGCAGGTGGTTTCATCACCTTCCTTTAGAGTCAATGTGCGTGTCTTCATATTTGTCTTATCATCGCACGGTGACCATGGCGTCTTGTCATAATGGCAGGCTGTGTCAGTTAAATAAAATACAATTTAAAATTAAGTACATCATTACTTTAACACCAGAATATCAGGAACAACTAATATAGGAACATTTACATTTTTCAGGAGCTCTGGCCAAACGTTTCAATGGTGTTTCATCCTTTCTAATGTTATCTGAGCTGACTGTTGTAATGGCAACCAATAGCATAGCCATCAACATGCTAAACATAATAACACTAAAACTCTTCATCTGAAAAAAAAAAAACTCCGTTCAAATATTTTACGTATACATACGAGTATATTATAATATAAAATTTGTGCACTTCACAGTAAAATAATCAAATGTGAGACATAAAATTGCTTAGCAGATACAAAGATGTGAAAAGTATCGAGTGATATCATTTCACAGATACGAACTCAAAGTTTTAATAATGGAACATTAAAACATCTTATCGCCATTTATGTTCAAACAGTGAGAACGATTGTATTTCAGTTGATAATATTATCAACAATTTTTTTTTGTTTTGCTCATATACTTGTGAGTATTTTTTACGGATTGACGCTGTAGATTGTTATATTGAATTTGATATTAATAAAAATTATTTATTTTATTAATAATGCTAATTTCTGATACATCTGATTATTTGAACTATTGGTGTTCGAATAGGTACATAAATATACAAAGAAAAATAAATATCAAGTAGAATTTTGTTCTTAATCAATAATAATGCATGCTTCGTAAAATATGGGAAGTCGTTACAGTTTAGAAACGCTCTACATATTATGAAGAGCATTTTTAAACAATGTTTTTCTTTCTTTTTGTAATTCATATAATATTTAACCATAATAACATTATAGGTTTATATTTTTTGTGAAATATATATTTTTGCCATGATTCGTAATTACGTGAGTGACTTACAAACAGTTTTTTATTTTAAAAATATATTAAAATAAAATAGACTTTAATACCAACTAATGAGCTTTGAGCTTAATACAAATTGACTTATAAACATATTTTAAATTTTATAGTCATCAGTTTAACTACATTTGAGAATATTTTGAGTTGTTTGTTTGAATAATGAATCAAACAATATTAAAAGAAAAGGGTCCGGAAAATGGAAACCGGAGAACACGCCTCTTTTTAAAAAAAAGGTTGTTATAATAAACAATTTTAAGTGACATTTTCAAAAATATATCTACGGGGTCAAGTACACTTTAGGGAAATAACATTCACGCTTAGAATAATGTTAATGTTGAACTAATTTTAAAAATATAACGCACCTTAATTTCTAACTACTATATACCATATATTTTTGAAAACATAATTGAATTCATTGTTAATATTTCAATCACAAATCACGGTTGTGTTTAGTTCAATTATATATATGTTTTTACATTTATACGTCCAATGTTTATAAAAGTCTAAAAGATGTATACTTTATTCTGTATAAATTAATGAAATAACAATCAATTTATTATTTTAGTCTTGTTTACGTAGATTTATTATGTTCCTGTAGTGCGTCAGCGTTTGTCATTAATATCATTTGTACGTGAACCGTAGAATTTTATAACATTATTTTATGCAAGTTTTCGATAAAATATCTGACGAAAAATTGAAAATCAAGACAAGCTTACAAGGTTTTATTATAAAACAAATTAATGTTTTGATTGGTTCTTTGTAAGAAAGGATTGAAATGTAGGACAAAAACTATTTATTTTTCGTACGTGATAAAGTACTAAAACCTTTCTATCTTTTTAGTCGTTCAAAACAATCACATTTCACAATGGTTCCATGTTATATTCGAATCGTTCATAAACTTTAAATTTGAATATGACACTTTGATTTCGGTTATTATAAATTGGTATGATTAATAAATTGATTACTAATTTATTTGAAAAATGCATTAAAGGTCAAGAAAGAAGAGAACGTTTTGCTGTGGGATATTTTAATATTTGATTATTCTGATTCATTTTATAAATGTAGAGAATGAGAATTTAGTTACGAAAAAAGGAATTATTGAATACAATTCTAATCAAATGAGCATTGCCTCTAGCTGTTTATTGTTTTGTCAGGGTAATATTTATATTTTATAAGTAATTAAAATATTTAATATACGTTTGTGACAAATAAAAGTAAGACAATAATATGGATTGCTTAGAATACTTAATGATAGAACTTTTTTTTTTTAAAAAAAAAGAACAAAACTTTTAATTATTAAATTATAACAGCTTAACTCTTATTTTAAAAAATAACATAAGAAGCATGCAGATCATGAGAAATATTTTAAGAACAGAAAAATAAAAAAAAAAGTTGTAATAAATAAATAATAAACATTAAATTAAATTAGAAACTGAGTGGTTCTTATAAAATTTAGAATACTTATAATGACTGGAATAAAATTAGAATTGAGAACTGAAGGATTTACAGGATAAATATTATGTTAGCGGAGAAATTTAAATTAACTGAGGCGAGAGTCTGAAAGCGAAGGACAAGTCATTAGAATATGCGAAAAATTGCACTTAACATCGCATCATGCCGAGTACAGAAAAGATAGTGGTTTAATGATAGGTGGAATGCATGAGGGAGGAGAAGATTATGACCGAACTTAAGACGTGAGAATTGAGCTACATATTGTATAGATAGAGGTAGATCATGAATCCAGGAATGAGAAGCAATTGAAGGGTTAATAAGTCTGTACCAAGAAGCGAAGTTAATTGGGAGAGAGGACCATTTATTTTGCCAAGCTTGTTTATAACACATAAATAGGATGGGAAGTAGATTAGAAGGTGGAATATTGAGGGTTGATGGTCTGGTGATGGATTTGGTGGAGACTGCAAACTATAAGCTTATCCGCAATCTCGTTATCATATATACTAGAATGACTTGGAAACCATTACAATTAAATGCATCGATTGAAAGACTTAAAAGAAAAAATTATTGATTTTAATATAATGGCAAAAGGAGAAATATTAGACTTGAAGGGATTGGAATTAATTGAGAAAATAGCTTATTGTGAATCTGTGGTGATAAGAAACTTGTCATAATTTAGAGATTCGATTGCCTTAAGAGCTGAAAGGATAGAAAGGCATTCCGCAGTAAACGAGCAAGAAAAACGAGGAAGATTGTTTTTGTGTCTCGCGTATTTAACACAAATAAAACAACTATGTTTTAGTATAAGAACCTTTATTGTACTTTATTTTAAAAATATATCATAATATGTAAAAACGTTTTCCATGCTTGCGTTTTTTCGGTTATCGTTACCGCAGCACAATCACAGTGTCGCCAACACCACAATTGTCAACAAATTTTAGTTGAAAATCGGGAATGAAAAAAGAAAAACCTGATGAATTGTCCGTAACACAGCTATAAGTGAATATTAAATAGTAGTTCAAGAAATTTGATCTTATAAAATCGTTAAAAAGGTGATTAACAGTAAGGATACACAATTTAATATAGACTTATCACATGGGAACTTAAATGTCTGGGAGTATATGAATATATGGGGAATTAATTAAAGACTTATATGGGATATCATAACAGTATAACCGATTTGTTGGGGTGAGAAGAATATAAGTAAATAGAAAGATGGACAATGCAATAGAAGTAAGAATGGAGAGTGTTTTAGGGACGTATTGCCAGTGCGTAGAAAGAGATAATAAAGAATCAAAGATGGGCATAGAAGAATTAGGAATAACTTTTAGTAAGAATTTACCCGCAAGCTGACGGGATCTAATTTATATGGGAAGACAATGACATTTGATCTCCAATAATTTTCTTTACCAAATGATCATTTGAATATTAATTAGTTGGTTCTTAATTACCTATTCTATAAAAAAAATGATATATTTTTTCAATGACAAAATTACACTATGGATTTTTGAAACTAATGTCAATGAAAATCTTTTACAACATAGTTATATGAATAATAATAATATTCACAGTTTATAAGATTATTTATAAATATAATAATATAATATTTTTTTAGTTCTATAATATTTGAAGTATGATAATAATAATGAATTCCCGTCCTTACTCAACTTTATAATCTTTAAAGTTCCACAACGCACTTATTAATATACATTATGACCTTCCATGTCCCTATGTGTCCCACCAATTATTTAGCTAATGAACCTAAAATACGTAGTTCATCTGATTCCATTACGGAACCGGCTTTCCTTATTGTAAAATACTGTATATAAATATAACTATTACATTTAGCATTTTGTATATTTTTAATTTGTGTACTGTAACTTTTGCATATAATATTCTTTTTATATTTTTTATATAATTCATATCATATACCTAAAATTCTAATAATATTAAAAGTGTTCCGTCTTAATTATATATTTTATATATATTTATATATTTTTTGTATATATACTAAAATAAAAATAATTAAAATAAAATTAATATTATGTGAGTGTTTATTATTTATTTTTAAGGTTAAATTTTTTACATTAAATACATTTTAAGTGGGTCCACTTATGTTGAGTAAACTTATTATTTTTTATCAGTTGTACACTAATTGATTGGAAATTGAAAGATATTTATAAACAGTTTTTGGTTATAATCAATATAGTTTTATTGACTTGTTAATATTTTACTCCGAGAAGTATATTGTTTGAAAAATACAGTTGAACTATTATGTGAAATTCACTTTGTTAAATAAATATATCATAAATACTATGATGTCTAGTAAAAATGCATTCTTTGTATTTTGTACAATAAGTCGGAATTTATTCTCAAAGACATAAAAGATTATTTATTAGAGAACTAATGGTATTTTGCTTTTGGATAAGTAACTATTTGCTTAAGAAAACAGTTAAGCATTAAAAATTTTATATACTTCAGACAGTTCAATGAATTAACGATGACCCGTATCCCTGCAAAAGACGGAGAATTAATATTACTGGAACGTATTTTTGAAAATAATTATCACCTACACAAAGATAAACGTCTTGAAATGTTGGGAAAGAGGCGCCCCAAAAGATTATATAAATCTTTGCTAGAACATCCGGTGGATGTTTGCCAAGCTTTGGTTTATTCACACTGTATGTATGTGTGTATGTACGTATAATATATATATGTATATGTGTGTGTGCGTGAGTGTGTTATGTTTATATTTATATACCTATATATAATAAAAAGTCATCAATTTTATCAGTGGCCTTTGTTGGCTTTTCTGGTGTTAACGACCGGTAAAGACGAAAAGGATGAAGTATTTATGACAGTAATAACAACCTTCTTCC